GAGCAGTCTCCAGGCTCTGAGCTTTCAGCACAGAGCCCGACATGGGGCTTGAACCTACAAACCGTGAGATCTTGACCCGAGTTGAAGTCGGACATTTAACCGACTGAGCCACCCAGGCGCCCCCATTTTGAGTTTATTTCTGTGTATGGTGTAAGAAAGTGGTCCAGGTTCATTCTTCTGCATGTCGCTGTCCAGTTTTCCCAGCACCACTTGCTGAAGAGACTGTCTTTATTCCATTGGATATTCTCTCCTGCTTTGTCAAAGATTAGTTGGCCATATGTTTGTGGGTCCATTTCTGGGTTCTCTATTCTGTTCCGTTGATCTGAGTGTCTGTTCTTGTGCCAGTGCCATACTGTCTTCATGATTACAACTTTGTAAGACAGCTTGAAGTTGGGATTGTGATGCCTCCTGCTTTGGTTTTCTTTTTCAAGATTGTTTTGGCTATTCAGGGTCTTTTCTGGTTCCATACAAATTTTAGGATTGTTTGTTCTAGCTTTGTGAAGAATGCTGGTGTTATTTTGATAGGGGTTGCATTGAATATGTAGATGGCTTTGGGTAGTATCGACATTTTAGCAATATTTTTCCGATCCATGAGCATGGGTTATTTTTCCATTTTTTTGTGCCTTTTTCAGTTTACTTCATGAGCTTTCTCTAGTGTTCAGTGTATAGATTTTTCACTTCTGTGGTTAGATTTATTCCTAGGTATTTTATGGTTTTTGGTGCATTTGTAAATGGGATCAATTCCTTGATTTCTCTTTCTGTTGTTTCATTATTGGTGTATAGAAATGCAACTGATTTCTGTGTGTTGATTTTATATCCTGTGACTTTGCTGAATTCATGGATCAGTTCTAGCAGTTTTTTGGTGGAATCTTTTGGGTTTTCCATATAGAGTATCATGTCATCTGTGAAGAGTGAAAGTTTGACTTCTTCCTTGCTGATTTAGATGCCTTTTATTCTTTTATGTTGTCTGATTGCTGAGACTAGGACTTCCAACACTACGTTAAACAACAGCGTTAAGAGTGGACATCCCTGTCATACTCCTGACCTTAGGGAGAAAGCTCTCAGTTTTTCCCCATTGAGGATATTAGTGGTGGGTCTTTCATATATGGATTTTTTCATCTTGAGTTATGATCCTTCTATCCCTACTTTCTTGAGAGTTTTCATCAAGAACTTTTGTGATTTTTCTAAACCACCTGGTTTATTCTTGATATGTACCTATTAATATGACCCTATATGAGGGTGTGCCAAGACCAGTCAGTGATCTAAGGGGAGGGATCTCATTTACCACCTGGTTTCAGGTGATGGGAAGCCAGACTCTTGGGCATTGGCTTTTAAGTATACAAATATATTCAGCCCTATGTTGCTATAATAGTAGTCCCTGCTGGCCTCCAGACCAGGAGATCTGGAGGTGTCTCCTGGACAGCAGTTTTAAAAATTTCGGCTCCAGACAAGCGTAGAAGCTCCTTTCTGGGAGTTGTGTCTAGGTAGCGAGATGAAGGCTGTGCGTGAGGATGGCATCTCCTTCTATTCCCTGGAAGTCCTTCTTAGCCTCCAGATGTGTGGAAAACCCGAAGCCTTTCCCTTAGGCTGATGCTCTGGGCTAAGTATTTGGCCTTTTTCACAGGAAGAATTGGGTTGTGTTTCAGTCTGTTGTCTGTACAGCGCCCTGGGAGTGGTAGCCTGCCAAGAACTGTCTTTCTGTTTGTTACCTTTCTGTGGAACTCACTAACACTAGCCCTGTCGGGCCACCAGCAGCGGTCGATCAAGTGGTATCTGTCTCCTGTGTGGATTGTGCATACCTACTAACTTTAGCAAGGCAGCCAGACATGTCAGGGTCGGGGGGGGGGGGGG